CCCCAAAACCCCAAAACCCCAAAACCCCAAAACCCCAAAACCCCGAGCCGAAGAGATTAATTGAGCTATGCAAATTGAAGAATTAGGGAAAAGCTCCTAATTATTGTTCTTCACCTAAATCTCTCTCATCAGTGAGCTCCTTCTGGGTGATGTTCATCTTTTCTCTTGAGAAATCGTCGATATCTAGGCCATCAATTACTTCATGCTTGAAATCTCCAGTACACTTAACTGGGAAGGAGAAGCATAGGTTATCATCGATATCATAATGAGTGCCATCACTCAGGATTGACATTGAAAGCATATCTTCAGATCCGTGGTACCAATCTCTTAAATGATTGCTGGCAGCATTGGCTGCAGACATAGAGCTGCTGAACCCTCTTGCTTCAATGATGGCTGCTCCTCTCTTCTGTACGGTGCTGATGAAGTCACCTTTATAGTAATCCTCATCTCCCTTGTAGTCTAAAGATTCTCCTTTAATAGTAGCAAATCTTGCATCTGGATATTGGGTAGAAGAGTGATTTCCCCAAACGATGACGTTTTTGACATCTTCAAGCCTTGACTCTGTTCTAAGAGCAATCTGATTCAGGGCTCTATCATGGTCAAGTCTAGTCATAGCAGTGAAGTTCTCCTTAGGAATATTTGGACAATTCTTGCTCAAGATTAAACAATTAGTATTTGCTGGGTTGGCTACTACAAGGACTTTGCAGTTTGGTGACGCCACCTCATTTAATGCTTTTCCTTGCTCCTTAAAAATCTTTACGTTTTTATCAATCAGATCTTTTCTCTCCATTCCCTTAAGTCTTGGGAACCCACCAACGAAGATACCAACATCAGCATCCTTAAAGATGACTTCTGGATCATATCCATATTCAATGCTGAGAACTAAGGGGAATGCTCAGTCCTGGGTCTCCATGACAACTCCCTTAAGTTTCTCAACTTGCGATTCAATATCCAGCAATCTCAAGTGGAGTTTAACATCTTTTCCAAAGGTCTGTCCTGATGCTACAAGTGGGATGAGGGAGTATCCTATCTGGCCTGCAGCTCCAGTGATGATAACTGTCAAAATCTTTTCAGAATCCATATTCCTATTATGATTAAAATCTTATTTATCAACTACTTTTTCTGCTGAAGGGGTTTTGGGGTTTTGGGGTTTTGGGGTTTTGGGGTTTTGGGGTTTTGGG